CTCGCTACGGACTCGGGCAGATCGGCAATGTCGATGAGAAACCTGTGTACATCGATATGCCCAGGACGTGCATCGTGAAAGAAGTAGGAGCCCGTGAAGTGAAAGTGCTTACGACTGGCTATGAGAAGCAATGGGTGACCGTAATGGTGTGCATCACAGCCGACGGTCGGAAACTTGCGCCCTGCATCATCCTCAAAAGACTAGTCGCTCTCGCGACTAGTCAACCGTTGTGCAAACTGGTGGCAGGCTGGCTACTCTCCAGTCTTTACTTTATTTATTTCCTTTACATTTATTCTTTCATTTTGATTATATTAAATTCATATTTCCTGTGCGAATTTTGTATTGTCCGGGCATGTTCCGAATCTAAGCATGGCGGGTGCGAAAAAAACGAAATGCTTAGAATCGAGCAAATACGGTATATATATATATATATACAGGGTGTTTTTTTTTTTTTTTAAGCTTAACAGAATTTTTTTTTTAAACTATAAAAGCTAGAATAATGCGGTCTGCGCAGGTGAGTTATACTGCCAGGGGTACATAATATAGGAGGCTAATTGTAACGATCAGTCGGCTAATTAGTCAAAAATCGTTAATGAACTTTTTAATTAATGAAAATAGACATATAGTTTCAATTAGAAACTTGCTCAGCGTCATCGAAAACATTAAATCAGTAATTTTTAGAAAGATCTTGAGCGCGTGAGAAGCGTAGTGGTGCACTAAAGTTAGCGCTCTTGGAGCACGTACAAAGCTAGCGGTTGCGGTAAGGCTTCCGCGCAATTTTTCCGAGTCTTATCTAGCCCCAGCCTTGTGCATGCTCTACGAGCGGTAAATTTAGTAGACTACTACGCTTCTCACGCGTTCAAAGTCTTTCTGAAAATTACTGATTTAGTCGTTTTCGATGACGCTGAGCAAATACTGATTGGAACTATATGTCTACTTTCATTAATTACAAAGTTAATTAACAAATTTTTATTAATTATCCGACTGATCGGTACGATTAGCCCTCTATACTATGTCCCCCTGCCGCATAACTCACGTGCGCAGGCCGCATCAACGTAGCTTTCATGGTTTGTTTTTAAAAATTCTGTTAAGCTTAAAAAAAACACCCTGTATATATATATATATATATATATATATATATATATATATACACAAGTTTCGAAGTGGAGCAACATAATATACTACATTTCGGCTGCTTGATTCTTGTACCCAGTTCTGTCGGTTATATAAAGGAGGATTGAGTTATAAATGAGAGAAAAAGAAAACTCGCAATATTTTTTATATAAACGTGTAAGGTGCTTGAAACACCGAGGCTCGATCTAAAATGGGCCTTATAATTTGGCGCCTGCACGAAGTATCCTAAACATTTCGTCAATATGTACTGTGTAGGTTGGTGTTGGCCCGTGAAATTACATGTTGTAGTTCCCCTTTTATAAACAAATGAGTCCAAAAAACTTGCCAGGGTCAATGGCAGATGGCAACGCAGACGGCCGAGTCGAGTGGCGCTGCGCTTTTGTTCTTAGAGCGTTCGCAGGAACCCGATTTCTCTGGGCTCTGTGCTTTCTGGTTAAAGGGACCGTATATGATCTTGGGCAGGAAGGATTCTCACTTTACACCGGTGTGATGGCACTAGTGGGACCCGAGAATACTCGAACGCAACGCCACTGACCAAGAAGCGTCTTCGTAGCGGTGGAATTCCAAAGATAAAAGCGGACGTTTTCTTTCGGTTTCACCTTTGCAAAACTTGATGACGGAGCAGTGGGGACAATGCCAACAATCCTATCCCCAGGAGTGCGTCATCGAGCTTTGCGATCCCCGCTGTGACGATATTCAAATGCTGCTCATACAGGGAACACTTAAGACTGCGTAGGCAATTGATTTCGGCTCGCGACAATCAATGCCTCCACATGCATGCTGGTAGTAACTCGTGACCAATTGCTGGGATGACGAATATAGCCGAACCTTAAAGGAGCGGTGCAACGATATTCATTTGGAATGTTTTTAACTTTACACGCGCTTACGGGCACTAGTGGGACTCGATGATAGCAATAGTAATAGTGATAGTAATTTTTACTGGCTCAGAAGAGCCGTGGCACCGCGGAAAGGCGGCTGCCCGTACCATGGAGGCCCATGGTACGGGACGTCTAGTGATGATGATTATGAGATGATATGCGCAAAGGAAGGATACTCGCACGCAACACCGCTGGCCATGAAACTACTTTGCTGAAGTGTAACTTCAATAACAAAGGGAGCGTTTTCATGCAATCTCTCCTTCGAAAAACTTGATGACGTAGCTTGGCGGTCGCAGTTCCGCCCCAGTGACTATAGTTGAAAGCGGTTTACAGATTGGTCCGGAGCATTGTGTGGGCACTCACTTAAGGCTCGTGATAACGATATCTCGCGAAGCATTCGGGTAGTGGCCCGTGTCCAATCGCTGCAGTGACGACAATAGCCGAACCATAACGCTGTCTGAAAGTCAGCGCGTCTCCTGTGTCATTGCCAACCCCAGTGCGTAGTTATGAACAACATTGGCGACATATAATCGGCTCCAGATCACGTGGCCGCTAGTTCTGGTCGCGAGTTGAGAAGGTCAACGCTGCTCGTTTATCTTTAGTTTTTACTGCGACTTCGATTGCGTGTAGTGAAAACCGGACGGGTGTTTCACAGGTCATTAACGTCGGGGATCGGTTCTAAACGGTATTTGCGCAAAATACACAAATGGTTGCATCGCCCATTTAACAATTCGTGGAACTCAGCGCGCGCACTGTGCTCTGCCAACCCCGACGCGTGGCTACGTTAAAAACATTAGCCGCATATAATTGACTTCTGGTTACGCCGCCGCTTTTTCTTGCTCCAAGTTGAAGGCGTATTCGGTGTTCGTTTTTCTCGAATTTTTCCTGCGACTGTCATTTTGTAGAGATAAAAATAAAATAAAAGGAACGCGTGTTTCATGGGTTTTAAATATCAAGGAATATTTCTGAGTTGTATATATTGAAATGAGAAAAATTGTTCCATACCACCTTTAAAATGGAAACGGGCGTTCAGCAGATTCCTCTGCCACCGCCGTAGCTCATGGCAGACGCTAAGCTGACACGCAGTTTATAAACAAGTGCGCAAACCACGTGTGAGCGGTGCGCAGAAAACAGATCTGCGTCAATTGATGCGTCTGCGCTTGAGTCGCTTCGATAGCAGCGCCGCCGCTGCTGCGTGACATCAGAGGCACATTTTGGGGTATAGATGCGAGATATATCATGCGGACGGTTGCTTACTTTAGGTCACGGTGGAAGAAACACATTTCGGTGATGACACTCGCCGATCTTCCCGCGGGAAGCAAGCAAACAGATTGTGTTCGGAGCTAGCCTCGAACCAGTAGTAGTTAGTTTCCCGCTGCCGCGGAGGGCGCTGCGGTATGGGGTCCCTTTTCGGCGGCCACGCTGTCGGTGGTGTAGCGTGCTCGCCTTTTTCGAGGTGTGGCTGTGTGGTGGTAGTGTGTGGCCAGTGGCTGGCCTCCTGTTTTGCTTTGGTGCTGTGTCAATCACAAGTGCAACCATCGTGCACGAAATTAAGCCTTAACCCCAAGAAGAAGCCATGCTATAAGGATGGGATGGGAACGAAGTGCTTCCTTCCCAAATGGAGTTTGGGGCACCGGAACTGTGAAGAGCGAGTGCCCTTGTTTAAAGGCTCCATCGAATGACGCTCACCTGGAACAGTGGTGGAAGAAACACGGTTTAGGGAGGGACCCCAAACTTGTGCGGCATCTATCTTACTGCGAGTGAATCCTGGAGCACGGTGGAAAAAAATACGGTTTGGGAGGGACCCATACTTGGGCGCCATCCACCGCCGTGCGAGTGAAGCGCGCTCGGTGCCCGAACATAATGTGACCGCCGCGTCGTACGGAAAGTACGCACCTAAATGTGTTTTTTCCACCGTGCTTTAGGGTGAAGGGAAGTGGGCAGCCAGAATATATATGGGTCAAAAGAGAATGCGGTGGCCACAATTACTTTTCTAGTTGCTAGTTCACGTTCTCATGTCGAAAGAGCGTCCCTGGTAACTTCTTCTAGTCACTCGGTCGTTCCAGCTTACGTTGTCCACAACTTTCTGGAAATATGATTTCGCCGTTCATTTTTTATACTAAAACACGTCTCTATACGATTGCTCTAGCTCGACTTTAAGCGCAGAAAAATACCAAGCATGTTTTCGTCTTGTCAAAAATAAAGTATCTTTATTAGAAAGAAAGACCTACAACTCGTGATAACGGACATTTTAGATAATAAATCCGAAAAACACATTAGATTTTAATGAATGATGAAAAAGGGAATTCAATATTTCTGTGCGCAGTTAGTTTACTGAGTCGAAGACCAGGACCCGTAATCACAGGTATGTTTGTTCAATCACAGCACGAAAATGTACGGAATAGCGACCGGCTCTTCTAGCCACGCAACGTGTCATGCCAGGAGGAGTTCATAACACAAGCTCCTTCTCAATGAGCTAGTCGACCCACGCTCCTGGTTCACAGACCCCGCCTCACGCCGAGGAACACAAACCGATTGTCCAACTGCCAAGGGACCATAGGGCCGGCCTATATATATACTCCGTTCACCTCTAAGCTAGCGGATCGGCGGAAGCTACACGCTCAATGAACCGGCCATAGTTCCATCTTTCGCCATGCGATCCCGCTCTCGCCCATCGCAAAGCACACAGAGCGGAGTCACGTGATGAAAGGTGGGTGGTTCATTGGACCTCCGAACGCGTAGCTTCCATCGCCCTACCGACGGCGTGAAACGCATAAGAACAAATACGGCGTCTGTCGCGTCGCGCCGCCGAGTGGCGTAACTACAGCAACCACTGCTGACGCCATGACGTGGCCCAGTGCCGCGCCCTCACTTCATAGCATCAGCGGCGGTTGCTATGGTTACGCCGCTGACCGCATCGACGTGACGCGGTTTTTGCTGACACGCGCTCCACGGTTCAGAGGCGAACGGAGTAGAGTGAGGCGGGTATCAGACGCCGCTATTGCTGGTGCCAGCGACCCGTTCCACGGCGCTCTGAGCCCGGAACTCGTCGTAGGTCTGGCGGGTGACCGCGTCGTGCATCGCAAAGAACTTCTTCCAGGACACGATGACGCTGGCAGTCATTCGGGACCTGAGCTTCACCTGCATCACCTCGATGAGCAAGTTGTTGATGTTGACGAACTGCTCCGGCGTCACCGCGCGACGGACGTGGTTCCTGATGTTCTTCTTGATCAGTTCGACCTGAAATAAGAACCGGTCGGGGTCTACACTTATCGAAGCTTTAGCATACCGTTTAAAATCGCAGTCGACCTTTCCCCAAATCACCGAGACACCAAGTATTTTGATGGAGGCGTATACTTACGAGCGCTGCACCTTCTCGAGTTATCAGTGTATAAAGCAATTTGAAGTAAATAACCAAATAAATGCGTTAAAAAAGGCTAGTGTAAAGAGCCACGTTTTAGGTTTTTTCCCCTAGTCTAACGAGGTGGAAAAAGTGGAACCTTCCCCGTTTCTGTTATGTTCTACACTTTTAACTTCGCGTCATGTGACGTCACAAAATCCGTGACGTAACCGGTAAGATGAAAGCGCCCAGAGTTTCTTTCACGCGGGTTGGTTTGGTGCACGGTAGTCGTGCTGTGCTAACCGATGATTTAAGACTTTTACGGGCTCTCTGACGTATGACATGAAAATCCCAAGGAATTATTTAAATACGCTTTTTGCACCAGATAGCATTGAATATTAGCCTCTGTAAAACAGTATGAGTGGTATCACCGCACCTGCAATTGGAGTCCGAAACCTTTTCAAGGATCGGTAGAACTCTAGCATGATATTTTCGCATTCTTCTAGTTTTGTTTCAGCCCTGGAATGCCAGAGAATAGAAACAAAAAGTATGCGTTCCGTTTAGATTGTAGAAGTGTTTTTCAGCTTTAATTTACTACAGAATGAAAGAAACTTTAACAAGAAAGCTCCTGAGACCTTAAAACGTCGGTACTATTCGAATAATTTACGAACTGGCGAGTCTCAAGATTTTGAAGCAAACGTGTTTTCGCTGAAATAGATTGCCTTCGATAGCATATTTTCTTTTTATGTGAAACGCCGGCGGTTGTTCGAGTGACGTGCACGCGCAACTCTAACAAAGCGCTCATTACTAATGTCACTCGAACATTGAAAAAGTTAACTTATCCCCTTGGCACTCACAATACATTTAGCGAATTTTCACTTTTTGATGGGGCAGCCCACAAATTACCGCATCCGATGTCCCTTAGAAATTAGTACTGAGGCTTCTGGCCTCGCCAATCAATATAAACAGAATCCGCACTAATCTGCAGCGTATGACTAAACGCTTGTTAGGCGGTTGTCTCATTCGTCACTCTAACATCACGAATCTTCGAAAATCTCATACGTCAACAACTCGTTAAATGTAATGCAACTCGCAAAACGAAAACTGAACTGTACACTTTTCACATTTTCAGCTTTTTTGCAGTATTTATTGCAGCCAAGCTTTTTTTGATCAAAAGTCCTTTGCATCATGTTACTTGATTACTTACTTGTTTTAATTACACACACAAAAAAGGAATTGTATTTGTGCTTGTCTCTCTCTCCGTAAGACGCAGCCTTGTAACAAAATGTTGGTTGCTATTCTTTGCAGCTCATTTAATATTCCCTTTTCAAATGTGTGTGCCGCCTATGCTCTGTCTTAAAAACGCTTGAGAAAGAACAAATTCTACAACCCTCTCGAGCCATTCGGAGTGACGGAGCGAAGCTATGAAAACCCATGGTGGATTGTCACGGGTGGTGACCAAAAGAACAATAAATAAACAGAAAGAAACAAATGTTTAATGTGTCGAACCTGTGCCCAAAAACAGAATAGAAAGAAAAGGATAGCGTCGGAGACGTCGATGGCGGCAGAACAGCAGGATCGAACGATGGGGCGAGACTGACTCCGCTCGCCTTGCGGAGTCTCTTATGTACCCTGGTGGGTTTCTCGATCATTCGGCGTAGTACTTTCGTGGCGTAGAACATTTGGAGCTCGATCGGACGATAATGTTCTCGAACTTACGAGAAGGTCAAGTTGAAATAACAAATAAAAGGACAATCCGCGGACTGGAATCGAACCTACACCTTCTGCGCGACAATCAAGCGCGATAACCACTCGGACATGCACGTTTTTTCCCCCTTATTTTGCAAAAATACACAAAACACAAAAATACGACAAACAGGGTTAAAACGCCAAGGGCTCCAACTTGGACCCGTTGGCGGCGATAAAACTCTGTCATGCCCATTAGCCTATCCAGCAGGCCAATCCACTCCCAGGCGGGGTCTCAGTTTTTTGAAGAACACTTTTTACCTGAATTACAAGCTCGATAAAGAATGCGCGCGCCGATTTCGGTTGAACCTCAGCGTGTCGCACCGCCAAGCGTGATCGCCATAGACTGTAGAGTCCTAACGAAATAAACATGTCATATAGCACGTTTTCATACTTCTCTATAGGAAGAAACCCAATTGTGAAATGGTCAACGCATAGATCTTTTTTTTAGGGTACGCTGTAAAACATCCCCCAAAAAAGACAGCGTCCCAACAGTGCACGAAGACGTGTTCGATCGTTTCCGGCTGTCGAAAAAGCAGGCAGTTTACACCCCAATGGGCGTATAAGCCACGCTCCTGAAGCCAAACCTTTACTGGCAAAGTGGAGCTGTGCAGCCGAAAGAAAAACGTTTTGACAGCTGGCGGCCAACAGGTTCTCTTAACACAGGCTAGTACATCTTGTCCAGTCCCTGAGGTGTACTGCAAACGGTACAGTGGCACAGGAAAACGAACATCAAGGTTTTGTGTCAGTCTTTTACGCGTGACAGTCGCCAGATACTCACGCGAAAATCTTACACTCAAGGAATTAAAAGAATCAACAACCTCCCTTAAGAGGTATTCGCACGAGGGAGAAATCCCGGGGATTTCTCCCCGACACGAGCGCATCATGATATGAAAACGCGAGGCTTTTGCACATCGTAAAGCCTGACGTTTTCGTCGTGGGATGCGCGTGCCGGGGAGAAATCCCCGGGATTTCTCCCTCGTGTGAATACCCCTTTACGAAACCAACTAGTTTTGCCGGTGGGCCAAACTCTGAAGTTAAAACAAAGGACGGTAGGGCTTCTGCTAGTCGGGTCTGTATCGTAACTTGCAATAGTGGGTTATATTGATCCCTCAGAAAAATAAAACGAGAAGCAGTTTTCCGAACAAAAAGATGGCCAAGCCCGATGCCTCCTTTGGATACACGACGAAAAAGGTTCTCACGGCACATGGGCTCACTACCCAGTAACGAAACAAACAACGCAAAAACTGTGCATCTTCTGAATGCAGCTCCTCGTACACCACATGACTTGCAGAACATAACATATCTTTGTAATTAAAAATACATTGTATAGAGCATTCACTACTAACACACTCTAATATTGACCGCGCTACATGAATGTATGACTGTACTGATCGGCCCCTAATCCTACATGTATGGTGTTCCCCAACTAAATTTCGTATAACATGCTACAACCTACTAGTTAGAACGCGCGCGAAAATTTTATTGTCAACATTACACAGTGTAATGGGTCGATACTCAGTTACACGTCTTGCCTGCACAACATCGGGCGTCTTTGGTATCAGCACAGTATGCGTCTGTACAAAAGAAGGCGGCAAAGCTTAAAGAGAGTATGCTTCACGAATAACTTCTAAAAGGAAGGGGAAAGTGTACTTCTAAATTCCTTAAAAAATGTTCCGCTCAATCAATCAGGCCCTGGTGTTTTATGAGACGCCAAGCCGTCAAAGGCACGCTCAAGCTCTTCGAAAGTGATCGGCTCTTGCAACTGTTCTCACAGATCATCCCGTAGCTGCCGTACTCTTTCTAGTAACGATGTGAACTCATCTTTGTCTAAAATAACATTTACACCACCACATAGTTGCGAGTAATAACCAGTAAAAACGCCTTCAATAAAATATGTATCACTGCTCGTGGCTCCCTCATGGTAAATTCGGGATTTCTTTACTAATTGCATGTTTCCGTTCTTCATCTAGAGCCCTCCGCGTGGGTTGCTCACCCAACAAAAACTTTTAAGCACGCGCTCGCACAACTGCTCCGCGGCAGCGCTCTTGATGGAAAGAATCCAGCTTCACCCTTAGATTCTTAATACCTTCCTCCACTGCACCTGGGCTACTGTTTTCAATTTTGAAAAGTTCGTTTAAATACGTTTGCAGTCCTTCCTCCTCTTTTCTCGCCTCGCGCTGTAGATCCGAAAACCTTTCCGTCACTATTTGCTTAACCTCTTCCTTAAAGTACTTCTATTTTTCAAGGAAACGTGTTTTCTTGCCTGAGATTATTTTGCTCAGAATATCGCTAACACTTTTGACAAAGTCGTCATCCTTTAGTAATGTGTTATTGATTTTCTAAAGCTGCCATTGAAACTTATTCTTTTACGGTTTTTTTCCCAAGCGCCACGCTCACTAAACAATTATCTGTAAAAAACAAAAAAAAAGAAATGGGCGTCGCTAATTAATCTGTTGTCCTGCTGATAAGCTCAGTTGAAACGTAAATGCGATCTAATCGCGAGTGGGATGCCCGCTGATAATAAATGAAATGTAGCCTGCCTCGGATTGCCCTCGTGTGCGCTGCATCTTCAAGATAGTGCTCCTGCAACAGTTTGACCAACATTTCGGCACTGATATTTCGGTTTTCACTCGTCGATCTTCCGGGCTGCAGACGCAATTGAAATCCCCCATAAGAACGAACACCTTATCGCAATCCAAGTACGATTTTAAGAATTCAAAGAAAACAGTCCTTTCATTAGCTCTGTTGGGTGCATAAACACGCATAACACGCCACTCGCGATTAAACGAGATAAAATCGCACAGTATGAATCGGCCTCGTTCGTCCAAGACTACGCTCAAGTCTCGCAACGGCACAGACTTTCTAAGAAACAAAAAACATCCCGCGGACATACCTACTGCATGGCTTACACACACCTCATAGTTGCTTAAAAGGGGGCGTAGCGCTTGTTTTATGTCGCTATTCGAGGACATTTCTGTTTCCTGCACAGCAAGAAAGTCTATTTGGTGGTCAGCGAGTAGGCGTTGCCGCTGGTACTGCATTTTTCGCGAGTTCAATCCGCGTACATTTAATGTTGCGAACCGAATCGGCTCGCGTAAATCCACCGTCCTCGACGCGTGAGGCGTCATACGGCGTGATCAAATTACAAGCC